AGGCTGCCTGAGATGCCTATTGTCCTGTTCATTTTAATCAGGCTTCCAAAAGACAGCTCAGAAGCTTCTAGATGGGGAAGGAGGAAGGTATGGAGGTATGAGGAGCCCAGTCAAGAATTGGGACTAGCAACACAAACAAGGTGCTGAGGTGGCTAATGAGTATATAATCTGACTCTCAGAATTCAAAAACTAGTAACATTAAAAAAACTATTTTTGTATACTGGATATATATTTTTGGCATCTGCTCAATCTCTGTATCTTAATACCCAGCACAGCACTTGGCATGAAAAAGGTGATTGGTACTATTTGCTGGGCGTAGCTGAAGAGCAAAGTGTCAACTGAGTACTTAATGTGGAAGGATGGTGGCCTCTACTCAGGGGCAGAGGCTGTCATCTGCAAGGCTGAGGCTCATGGTGAGGTGAGCTGATGACTCCAAGACTTTGTCACATCTCCTGGGCACCTGTATCCCAGCTGTTTACTGGACTATCCCATGAGCCGAACAGACCTCAAACCAAGGCTATGAACCTTGGCCAATCATGCCTCATGCTCTGAGGCCTTTCCCCACGTCCTTCTTACCCATCCCTCTCCTGGTTCCCCCACCACCCTAAGTTAGAGCATTCTTCTCTCTGCTGCCAGACCACTTGTTACATCAGGGATTAAAGGCCCTGAGTAATGTGTCCCTCAGCAGACATTTACTTCCCTAGAGGGACGGGTGGCCAACAAAAGATAGTTTTCAATTCCTTAAATGGATTGTTGACCACCTGTTACAGTCAGGACACCACTGGGGTCCTGCAAAGAAGACCGAGGGGAGTAAGACAAAGTCTCTACTCTTCTTCTTCTTCTTTTTTTTGAGGTAGAGTCTTACTCTGTCACCTCTGTCTATAGAGTGCTGTGACATTGTAGCTCACAGCAACCTCAAATTCTTGGCCTTGAGCAACCCTCATGCCTCAGCCTCCCAAGTAGCTGGAACTACAAGTGTCTGCCACAGTGCCCAGATAGTTTTTCTGTTTTTGCTCAGGCTCGTCTTGAACTCCTGAGCTCAAGCAATCCACTTGCCTCCGAGAGTGCAAAATTACAAGTGTGAGCCATCATGTCCCTGCTCTTCTAAAGCGCTTCTAACTCAGAAGGATAAAATGGACTCTCCTAAAGCAAGCTGTGTGGAACTTTTGGATTGAAAATTTGATAAAATGCCAAGGAAGAGGTGGCCTCTCCTCACCAGGCCTTGAAGGAAAGGGGTGATGGGACAAGCCCATCAACAGATAGAGATAGGGTAGGACTAGCCTGGTTACCCACTCCCTTCTCTCCTCAATCAACCTGGCAGGCCTATTCCACTAACTACAACAGGAATAAAAGGAGTAGCTTCTAGTTAATAGCAGTCACTTCCAGCAGCCTCCCTCTCCTGGGCTGTGTGTATAATTTTCGTGGGGTCACTGGTAATCCTGACCAAGGGCCTGGGGGTGCTGTGTAATCTCCTTGTCCTTGGTCTAAAGACAAGTTGTTTCATGCTTTAGGACCTCAGAGGGATCCTCTGAGAAATGAAGACAATATCCTGCCTTACATGGTCATTGAAGCTCCAAGGAAATTGGACAGTTTGAGATAAACTAAGAACAGGTGAGTTAGCTGGTACATTTGGGCCCAGCAGTAAGTTTTCTTTGTTTCTGAAGCACAAGGCAATATTCTCTAAACCTGCCCAGCAGCCTCAAAAATGGATGCAGCCAGTTGCAAGGGAGCCTGGGTGCATGTATGGCTTAGCACCATGTCATCTGTGTGCCAAAGACAGTCCTCAGCATCAGATGGTCTTCCCTAAGCCAGTTTAGGGGCTGGGCAAGTGCCCTTCCTGCCTGCCTCCTATCAAGCTCTGCTCATACTATATTACAATGATGGATTAGCAGATGGTTAGGCTATCTAAGAGCAGAGGTGTGTTCTCTGCTAAAGTAAGCTTAGTACACAATAGACCTGTTCCCAGTGCAGCTTGTAAAGGACCTTCTGCCATTTGCAGAGGCCCAGGGAGAACACAGCTTAGGCTGCCACCCTTCCACTTTTTGCAGCCCCACCCCCACACCTGCTGGGCTGTCTCCTGATTGTCCCTCTTCCCTCCACCCCTCCTCCCCAATCACATTTTCAAAGTGTCCCCTAATTAGGCTCCTTTCTCCATATGTCTAAAGACCCAGATAAGGAATTTCTCTTTAGACTGTGACCATGGGCAAGTCATGGCAACTCCTTAGTTTCCTATTTGTCATGTGGGAACAAAAATGATAGCACTTCACGGAGTTCCTCCAAGGACTACAGAACTCTCTGGCACATAACTGGAGGTGGGCATGTCCCTCAGCCTCCCCTCCATGTTACTGGTATCTTTCCACATGAATCATCCGGGTCAGCCCCACCCTGCTTCTGGGGCATCAAATTCTCATTAGAAACAAAGGAGAAACTCCCACCCTAGGGTGAAAAGGAAGGAGGAAGGATCTAGTTTAATGGCCATGAAGATTCCTTGCCAGCTGGACACACTGGTATGGGGGTGGGGGGCGCGGAGGCAGTCAGCAGTCAGAAGGTGCAGCCTTTAGAGCAGAAGCCAGGGATCTGGATTCTTCTGTAACCAACCACGTGACTTTTGGACAAGCCCCTTTCCTTGTCTGTACCTCAGTTTCCTCACCTGTGAATCAGAATCAACCTACTTCTTTGAGAAGAAGTGGCTATACAGACATACAGGACAGTGATTAAGGGTGGAGGCCCAAGAGCCTGGAAGTTGAGTGGGTACAGACAGGGTCAGAAGCTGCTGCTTCTGGGGGCTGGTCAGGTACCTTGGGCCCAGTTTTAGGGCCCCTAAACTAGGCACTAAACTCCCACTATAATGTTCTTTGTTCTTTTTTTCCTGCCGATCAAACCACCTTGCTTTTTTCAAAGGCACATCTCTCACTCTTGTTCTGGAGTCTTACTTAAAAATTGCCCATTCTACTTTACTTCTCTCTCTTTCCAATTGTGCAGTTTGCCTCCCTCCGGAAGCTTCCCCAGATTAAGCAATCCAGCCTCAAATTCTTTTCCTCTCAGCATTTGAGTAAACTCTTGCAGGCAGGACATAGGCTACAGGTTGTATCTTCTTTATACAGTAGGCACCCAGGAAATAAATACTGGTTAAATCTGTACATATTGGATTGGTTCACAATTGTTAGAGTTAATTTAAGAACACCCTTCTATACAGGACTAGAAGCTTCAGTGGCCAGGGGCCTTGTCACCCCCTTCTTTTATCAGGGGTACACAGCTTGTACCCCATGTTGTGACCAGGGTAGCTCCATTCAAACTCCATGCTTAATCCTACAGCACCATTTATTTCAGACTGGGACAAGATAGCACAGTGGTTAAGAGCAAAGGCTTTGGTGTTTGGAGCCTGGCTCAGCCACTTCCTAGTGATGAGACCTCCAGCAAGAAACATCTGTTCTGAATCCTGATTTCTTTTTCACTAGAAACAAGAATACATATCTCACCCAGGTGTTGTGAAAACAAATGAGGAAATGCAGTGGTTGGCATATTCATGGCATTAAGTGCTAAATAAATTCAAGCTTTGTTAGTGTTACATCATGAGACTTGACCCCTGACCCCAGCTGTAGCCTGCGACCCAGTATTGCCCCACACTTTCCTTATGCCACATCTGTGTTCAATCTTGCCTTTTTCCTCTGCAGAATGCAAATATACAAAGAAAGCTCAGTCCAACAAGGAGGAATTTAGAGAGGGAGGGTGGAAATATGGACAATGAAAAGTTAACCCTTCCTTCTGAAAGCCAATCTAGCCAACTACCTAGGTCAACCCTTCAGGAAGAGATGCTTTGGTCTTTCCAGCTTAATTTTCCCTTCTCAGGCCTGTTCGGAGTCCAGAGGAAACAGAACTCCAACCACATGCATTCATTTGAATTAGTGTGGTGAACCCAAGCCCCTCCTGTTGTGTACTTCGAATTGGGTACCAAAGGCTGCTGTTGTTTCTTAACAAATATGGTATGGAACCAGATTTAGCAAATAAAAATAGAAAATGCCCCATTAAATTTGAATTTCATATAAATAATGAATACATTTTTCAGTACCAGTATGTCAGTATCAGTAATATTTGGGATAAATTGATACTAAAAAGTTATGCGTTGTTTATTTGAAGTTCAAATTTAATGGAGCATTCCATATTTTATTTGGAAGCGACCTAGGTACTCCTACCAGAAGGCACAGAGTAAAAGTTGAAATCTTCCCCCTGCTCCACAACCTCCTGGACCCACCAGCATTCCCAGCCAACCATCCTGGAAACCTCCCTTCCTTCCAATTCTCAAGCAGAGCCATGTGCTAAGTAGAAGCTTTTCCCAGAGCTGCTGAGTCCAGTGACCTGCCTTGTCAAAGTGGTCAGCACAGTGCCAGGGGCATAGTAGGTGGTCAGAATACATTTCCTCACTCATTCCAGGTTGCTTGAGCTCTAGTACTGGACCCAGAAGAGGGTGTGAAAGTGAGGGGCCTGCACAGCTTTGACTGTAGGTGGGTGGAGGTGTTCTCAAGAGCAACATGGCTGAATTGGGGAGGTCACCACCAGCTACTTCCTGGAGTAGTTTTGAAGATAACATGAGAAAATGGCTGGGGATATGTCCTGTAAATCCCTGGGCAGCAGATAGGTTATTGTCAGGACCTTCCAGTGACTCATTTTTTGCAGGGCCTCATGGCATCCACTCTTCCCTAGGGAAGGGGACATCAGGAAGAAATTTCAGAAGTATAGAGCAAAGACAGTGCCTCTGGGCACTATAACAATGATGACCAACATCTGTCCAGCACCTTCTAATCTGTTAAACATTCACATCTATCCTGTGGAGATAGACACCTCAGAGACCTCACCATAGCCCCGCGAGATGAGGGAGGGCTGGGATCCAGAATACACATGGTGCCAGGGCGGTCTGCTCCAGGCCCTGCTGCGGAGGTGGGGTCTGGTCCAAGGGGCTGGGGTTGGGGGTCTCACCAGTTGGGGGCGGAGACAGGGCCTACCTTCTGGGCCTGTTGGATCATCTCCCTGACCACCTGCTTGAGGTGCGGCGCCTTCTCCTCCTTGGGTGGGTGAGTGAAGAGGGTAACACGGCTCACGCCGCGGTAGAAACCGGTGTCTGTCCAGCCCAGGTCCAGTGGGGGGACCTCGGTGTCAGAACGGTCAGGCCAGTAGGCCAGGGACTCGCCGGGCTCCGCTGGGGCCTGCGTAGGGGCCTTGGCCTTGGCTTTGTTCTTGCCCCTGGCGGCGGCGGCGGGGGCGGCGTCCTCGTAGGGGCTCCAAGCAGCGAGGAGGGCCTGGCGCTCCTGGCTGGAGAGGAAGTCCCGCAGCTGCTCCTTCTTGACCCGCTCGCGGTAGGCCTGCTCGCCGCCGCCCAGCAGCGCCTCCAGCGCGGCCCGCCGCCGCTCGCAGTAGTAGAAGGCGGCCTGCACCTCGGTCACTCTCTCATTCACGTGCGCCTCGTCCAGGCAGCTCAGCTGGGACTCGGCCATGGCGCCCCAGCCCGGGCCCTGCCGCGGCCCCAAGGTCCCACCACTGTACCTGGAGCCGCCGAGGGGCGGGGCGCCTCACCTGGCCGCGGGGTTGGCCTCGGCCCGCCCGCCGCCGCGTGCTGGCCAATCCGTGCGGGCCGGGACGCGGGCGCGGCCGTCGGGCGGGGAGGGGCCGCCGCGTCGCCACCACCGGTGAGGGTCTCTACCGGCCTAGGCGCTGCACTGCTGCGGCGACCGGGGTCAGTCTGCAGGGCCCGGCCTGGGTCGGGAGCCACAGAGTGGAAACAGACTCGGGCTGGGCGGCAGTTAGACCCACGTGCGGCCTCTGGCCCATGTCTGCCTCCTGGCCCCGACTCTCCTGTGGGGCCAAGATTGGCGACTTGACCCTTTTTGCCTCCAGCCCCAGGCCAACATATGGTGCATGTTCACCGTTCATTGCCGAGCAGGTAGGGCCTGGAGCACGTGTTCTGGCCGAGGCACCTCTGGGGCAGTGATCTGACCCCTCCCCCGTTGAAGGCCTGGGGGCTCTGCTGCTGGACAGGATTGTGACGGCTGGTGGTGGGGGTGGGGGGGGAGTGGGCAGTGGATTTGCGAAGGGGAAATGCTAATGAAATCTCTAGCTCCTTCCCACGTGTCCCGGTTCTGAGATCAGAGGCCTCCAGGGGCTGTCAATCTAACACCTTCACCATAAAAATTTCTTAAAAAAGAAAAAGCCATTTAAACCCAGAAACACAGAGGAGATGTAAGTAGCAGGCAGTGAAATCTGCACCCCACCCCATTTTAATTTGAAGTTTGGGCAAGACAGGCTGCCAGAGGCCTGATTACTATATTAGTGAATCAAAATATATGTTTGAGCTCAAGGAAGCCACATGTGCACACACACAGCATACAGCAGCAGCTCTGCTGTTTCCCATTGGATTAAATACAGTCTTCTTAGTCATTAACATATTATTTTGTTCCTGCACTGCTATACAATTTGATTCTCCACATTCAAAATATTTTCAGATCATAGCAACCAAAGGTTCACATTTCTCTCATTTTACAGCTCAGCGTCTTAGAGCTGGAAGGAGCTTTTTAAGCTAGTTCCACCCCCTCATTTTACAGATGAGGAAATTGAGGCCTAGAAACGTGGGCTTTGCCGGGGACTCCTGCACGGGAGAAGTAGAACATGAGGAGTGCTTAGTTCTCCCGTCTTAGAACCCATACACCACAACCGCCTTTGCCCTTTCTCCTTTTCTTGTGAAACAACAGGTTTGGGGGGTGTGGTTTTAACTCCAGGGGATTTGTAGAGGTGGCTTACCATTTCTAAGGCCTTCCTTTGATGGTCTGAAAAACTGAGGGTTAGATTTTCAAATATCTGCAAATTTTGTGACAATCATCAGTTCTGACATCCTTTGTCAGCCCAAAGATCAGGAGTGGTGAGCAGCAAAGTGTTCACCACCTCATTTATCTGTCCTTTGCCCATCTTGGGAACTGGAAGTCTTCACTTCTGGTCATACTCCAATTTGTTTGTTTGTTTGTTTGAGACCCAGTCTCACTCTGTTGCCCAGAATAGAGTGCCATGGTATCAGCCTAGCTTACAGCAACCTCAAACTCCTGGGCTCAAGCAATCTTTGTGCTGGCTAATTTTTCTATTTTGAGTAGAGGCTGATCTCAAACTCCCTCCTTGGTCTCCCAGAGTGTTTGGATTGCAAGCATGAGCCACCCTGCCAAGTGTACCCATCCACTCTTATGTACACATAGACAAATTATGTCTTCAGGTAGAAGAGCATTTAGTTTGTTACCTAATAACTTGAGGCCTCATAGGATGCCAGACCCTACACCCTGGGGAAACAGAGGAGCTCAGGGCAGTGGAAGGATAATGGAATGCAGAGAAAGGGAATAGAAGTGTGATGAAAGTGATTTCACTTTTTTTTTTTTTGAGACAGAGTCTCACATTGTCGTCCTAGGTAGAGTGCTGGAGTGTCACAGCTCACAGCAACCTCAAACTCTTGGGCTTAAGCCATTCTCTTGCCTCAACCTCCCAAGTAGCTGGGACTACAGGCGCCCACCACAGCACCTGGCTATTTTTAGAGATAAGGTCTCTCTCTGGCTCAGGTTGGTCTTGAACTCTTGAGCTCAGGCAATCCACCTGCCTCCACCTCCCAGAGTGCTAGGATTACAGGAGTGAGCCACTGCACCTGGCCTTGAACGTGATTTAAGAAAGGCAGTCAGAAATGCTTTAGTAGCAAACTGTTTCAACATTACTCAGTGCTTGCTATGTATCTGATACACAATTCGTTGCTCAGTACGTATTTCTTAAAGAAAAAATTAGAGCCAAGAGAAAGGTAAATGGAAGGAGTTTTGGGGGACTATGAAGGAAGATGCAATTAATTTGCCCAGTGGGATGTGGATAAGAAGAGCTTTCCCCAGCAGGAAAAAATTTTGAGTGAAGCCTAAAAGGAAGAGATGAATTCAAGGAGAGAGGGAGCAAAGACATTCAGAAGTCGAGTTTTGGAAACAGTCAGAGCATCATGCTGACACCAGGCTCACATGGATTCACCCCAAGATACTTAACTTTTCAGAGTCTTGGTGTCCTGATCTGTAAAGTGGGATAATAATGCTGTCCGTTCTTGACCTTCCAGATGGTTGTAGGAACTGAAAATGAGATCACACTTGAGTCTAACTGGTAGAAAGTGGTTTATAACAGTGCTTCTCAAACTTTACTGTGCATGGTAAGCACATAAGGGAGGGCTGTTAAAAGGCAGATTCTGATCTTGGTGAGGCCTGAGATTCTGCATTTTTAACAAGCTCCCCAGTGATGCTAGTAGTGCTGCTCCACTGAAAGAACGTAGCCTGGCCCGGATTTCTGAGATTGGTAGAGGAGAGGGTCCTGGAATGGAATCCAGCTCTCCTGATATTAGCTGTGTGTCCCTGGGAAAGTTATTTCTCCTTTTTGGGCCTTGGTCTTTTCATCAGTGAAATATGGGCAATAATAGGTCCTACCTCACTGGGTTATGTGAGAAAGAAAACAAGTCAAAGCATACACACTGAGTGTTATGTCTGGCACAGGTGGTAGCGAGAGGTTAAAAGGGCAGCTAAAGTGTGGAAAAATGAGACTGGAAAGAGAGGGACATTGGGGCCAAATTGCAGGGATCTTGACTATAGACCTTACTCAAAAATAGTAGCAGTATTGTGTACCAGGCACTGTGCTACATGTTTTATGTGCACTTTAAATGAAGTGATCCTATTAGAAAACTGGGGCACAGAGAGGTTCAGTAGCTCACTCTAGGTCATTCAGCTAGTAAGCAGAAGACCCAAAATCCAAACCCAGACCATCTGACTACAGTGCCTGCCTACCTACCCACTTTGCTTTACTGACTCAGCTGGGAATGTTAGAAAGGGACATCAGTTTTTTTTGTTGTTGTTTTTTGCAGTTTTTGATTGAGGCTGGATTTGAACCCGCCACCTCTGGCATGTGGGGCTGGTGCCTCACTCCATTAAGCCACAGGCACCACCCCAGAAAGGGACATCGGAAGGAGAGAGTGTTCCCCTTGTTCAGTAATTCATTCAACAAACATTTGCTGAATTCGTAGCACTGTGCTAAGGGTTAGAAACCATTCATTCATTCACCAGATCCTTGTGGAGCCTCAGTAAGCACAAGGCCCTGTTCTAGGTACTAGGGCTGCAGCTCAGAGCAGAACAAAGTCCTTGCCCGCCTGGAGCTCACATTGAAATAGAATGATTAAGACATGGTTTTTGCTTTCAAGGAGCACAAATGTTATGTGACATGAGTTGTGATTGGACAGAAGGTTAGAAGCAGAGCAGAATATTTTAGTAACAGTTCAGGTTGGAAAAGGTCTTTCTAGATCTAACTGAGATAAAACACACTGTGGTCTTTTTGTAATGTTTACCTTAACATACCCATGACTTACTTATTCAGCCAACTTTTTGAGCTTAATGTGTACTAGATAACATGCTTGCCACTGAGAATTTAAAAAAAAAAAGGAGGAATCAGATGTAATAACTAGCTTCCTTGATGGGTCCCTTGGTTTAGCTGAGAGTTAGATTCTCACGGCAATCTTTACAAGGTAAAGTATGAAGTGGTACGAAGGCCTCCGCAGAGAGTGTGCAGGCTGTGGAGGCATTTTAATGTATAATTACCTAATTTGATCTGTCCCCTCCCCCACACCTGCTGAGGTAGACTGTGAAGGAGTTATTGTCGGGTATTACAGATGAATAAACTGGGGCTCCAGGAGATGTGCTGTCCAATGTTATGAGTGGGCATTGGAAACGCTGGGGTGTGTGTCCACATAGCTCGATCCCCAGACTCCTCTGCCCTGCCACACACCTAAATACTCTATGCACTCCTCCTGAGATTTTTTAAAAGCCATCCTTACTCCCTGATTTCTATCAGGGGCAGGCCCTGGGATCAAGCTACATATCTTCTCACCCAGGGACACTCCATGGGGCAAGGGCCCCCTAGGAAAGCCCCTGGTCCTCTACGAGTCCTTCTGGCTCTGGGTCTGGAGTTTCCCTGAGCTAGGTGGGGCCCTGTCATGGTTGCATTTCCAACTCCAGAGGCCTTCTTGCATAAGGTGGCTTCCCCTTTCCTGAGAAACTGTGTCTCATCCCGTGATGCCCTTCCTGCTCCGCCCCTCCTCCTTCCTCTGGCAGACAGTGCGTGTGCCCTTCTGGGTAGTTGGCTGTAATTCACCTTCCTCCTGCCTGCTGCCGCACACCTCGGGCTGTGGGTTCACAAGATAAAGATGTGACACGTTGTATTTAATGTTCATTGTAGCTGTGTTCATCCCTGCACACGTCTATTTTCCCAGGCCCTCCTGTGTAATTTGAGTCCCCAAATACCCCACCTCACGATGTATTTTTAGATAAGTTTTCCAGGGGCAACTTTTTTCCTCCATAGCAATTTGTGTCATGAGTGCCTCTTATATTTTGGGGACTCTCTTGTGCCTCTGTAAAATTCTTGCTCACCGCCTAGAGCAGAGGTCCTCAACTTTTTAAACAGGGGGCCAGTTCACTGTCCCTCAGACCATTGGAGGGCTGGACAGCAGGCCCCAGGATGAGTCAGCTG